CATTTCTGTTTTATTTTTATATCGTATTATTATTATTATTATAGTTAGTATTAATCCATAAAACTTGTCTTGTCTTGTTGAGCACGAGGACAGGTGCTGCTGCTGCTGCCGTCTTCCGTTTCCAACGGCTCTCGCTAACTGCAATCTGCTTATAAAACCCAACGGCTAATTGGAAATCGTTACCTCGACTGTTTTACGTAACTATTGCAACAACATTCATTACATACACCAGATCTCATTCTACCGAACGAATTGACAATAGTCTCTGAAAACATTTAGTGAAAACTCGATGTGTCATTTTTGACATATGTGTCATTTTTGACATATGTGTCAATGTGTCAATTTTGACATAATTTCGAACATTTTTAGTACATAAATTTTATCTTAAGTTGCGTACACATTAAATATTATTATTATAACAGTTGGCATCGTCATATTAACAATAAAAATTTAATTGTTTCTGAGGAAAATAAAACATCGAAACGCAGAAACAACATTTGTGGATAATTTTATAAATTAAATTTAAAAAATAATTCCAATTCGATTTTCGTTATCTCGCATGGAATTCATACGAAATACAATCCAATAAGAAGAAGCTCGTTTCCTAGTGTACCAGAATGTGTGCTTAAGATAAGTTCGAAAGCATTTCCATGACGATAACAACAAATAAACAAGCTTTGTTACGGAGATAAGAGGACCTAATGGAACGGCTTCCTAAATTAAAATGTTTACAATTAACAAAAAATAAAGGATATTCATTCACACCGAATAATGAAAAGTTTCCTGTCTTGTGCGCTGGTAAAGTTTGTCGACCTTTCGTGTCGTAAACGCGGAAAACGCATTTATTATTAGAGTGCAGACCAGAACTTGAAAAGCTTAACGATTTGCCCGAGACTCGAGATCACTCATTGGTTCGAACATGAATAAATAAATAAATAAAAATAAAACGGAAATGCGTGATTCATTTTTTTTTTCTTCTTTTCAATCTCATTTCTCGCCACGTTAAATAGATTTTTAGCGAGTAATAGAAACCTGTTCGTCCTGCGGTAATCGGAACACCGGAGCCAATGAAGAACAAACGAAAATATATATATATATATATGTGGAAGAGTAGAAACTAGTTTCTTTTCGGTGGTATTTCATTAAATGGACATTACAATTTCGTGGCGCATTATTCCGTAAGAAAACAATGGATTTCGACCTCTGGACAAGGTCAATTATCAATTAGCCTTGTAAAAATAAAACACTGAATGATAAATGTCAAAAATTTAAACAAAATTCAGATTTTAGACAATACATGTCATAGTCATTTTAATAATGAAATTGTTAATTAATTTAATTATATTTTTATGCAAAAAAAAATAGAAATGTCTAAATTTAAACAATTACGGACAATATATATATATGATATTCAATTATATCAACATTTCTAAATGAATTTACTAAAATTTAGACAATGACATTTATAGTTAAGATGAGTTAAACTGGTTTTGGAAACTATTAAACGATAATCATAAAAATAAGTTTCCAAAAAAACTTCAAATTTAGATTTAAATTTTACGTACAAAATTTGATGGAACTAATGAACTGTTAATAATGATGTTCCGATTTTTTCTTTTTTGTTGGCAGATGCAGTTTTGATCTAATTACGAACCGAAATTGGATAACCCGATAATCCCGAAAATAGATTACTGCTAAGCCACCGGAGATAATGGTGAATCCGCTCCGATGCGCGTCGCCTCCAATTAAAACAAAAGACAAAGCGTAACGCACGCACGTTCGAATTAGACCTAAGCCTACTACTTCTAATAAATTCGTTCTTCTGTTTAACAAACGAATCGAAGCGATAACGAGTGGAAATAAAAATTCTTCTCTCCGAGCGATAAACTAGGAAAGTGGATAAAAAGGAAGCAGATTGTGTCGATCCAAAATATACGTACAAACAATAACAACTACGTTGCGTAGCTTCAGATACACATATGCATGCGCTGAGCTGAACCCTCTGGTAATTTGATAACAATTAATCTTTGTTCAGCAGCTGCTGATGATGACTCCGTGCTTTCTGAAAAGAACGACAAACTACGATCGAAGAAACATAATTTAAATCGTTCTCAGTTTTAGCCCGAGGGGCCAATTTTTGCCCAATCTCAATAAAAACCAATCAAATTGACTTGATTAAATATATGTCTCGTTTTTTTTTTCTTAAGTGTGGTATTACATAATAACAGTATTCCGATTGAAACTCATTAACCTTTCGACCTCTTTCCCGAAGGCGCGCGCGTCCGAAAGAACGAAACGAAAACGGTTTCGAGCGAAGAAAAAGGAAACTTTCTAGCGAGAGCCGCAAATACCTTCTCCGAAAATAATGCATCCGAAATAGAATGCAGGAGGCAACGAGGAAGAAGAAGAAGAGCAGTTTCGCACCTACAAACATTACGTGGCCACGTGGCTCCAACAAATATTTTTTTTTCTAAAATATTACTGAAAAATGCAATTACAAAATTGCTAAACTTCTAAGAAAAATCGAAAAGTTGATTGGCGCGTAGGATGGATGCGCTTCGCTTAGAAAATCCACGTTGCACAAGTAAACCTTGATGTGTTCACTCAGCAGCAGTCGATCATGCTGCTTTCGCGTTTATAGTTCAATTTCGTAGAACGACGCTCCAAATGCAGCTGCCCGAAGGTCTAATGATTGGCATATTTACGATTTATCTCACATGTTATAAGACTGAAACGTAAAGATTAATTGCATAATTGCAAAATATCGAGTGAGCAATTGCATTCTAAAAGAAAAGCACATATTTATATTGTTTTATTTAAATGTTATTCACAAACAAAATGGTAACGCTTCAAAACGGTACGTTGTCATTATATTTATTTGACAGTTACGTCATATGATTCAACTTATATTATTATTATTATTACTTATTTCAGTAAATGTTACCATTTTGCTTCGCTGTCACTTTTTTCTTATGTCAATTTATTATTTGACAGTTATGTCTAATATTGAAGCCTACTTTTGTTTACAAACAAAATAGTAATTACTGTCTTGTCATATGCATAAAACAAAGTTTGAAAGCAAATCATTTAAAAATTAAGTAGTAACGTTTCTTTTATGACAAATTTTATGAATAATTTCTTAAAATTTAATAACAAAATAAAAATTAAATTGTGACAATTGAATTAATATAAGGTATTATAAATGTTGTTTTGTAAATTTTAACATATCTTTTGAGAAATCCATGTAAATTATCATAGAAAATTTTGCAAAGTTTGTGGACTTTTAAAAAATAAATGAACTGAGTAAAGTAAAAGACGTGCAGAGCTTTGAAATATGTTTGTATGAAACGAATGCTCATCGTCACCTGTTGCGCACGAAAATCTATTCTAAATTAAAACAACGAAGAGCGCATCCAATGAGCGGAATTATCCTTGCATGCGGATAAGCAGAAGGAAAACTTAAATAAATAAAGGTGGATTTATATATATAAAAAAAAAAGAGGAGAACGGTAAACGGAGCGCATCGTTCAGCGGAGCTTGCACAAGATTTACGTTTTGAAACTTTATAAGCAAATAAAATTAAAACAGTTCTAGTTTTCCCAAATTAACAATTTCGTACCAGAAACCGAACAGATTAGTCATGTGTTTAGGGAAAAGGGAGGCAGAAGAAAAACAAAATCGATGTTTCGTGTGAATCATCGCCGTTACCAAACCCTCCTCACCTAACAATGCTTAAGAGAGAACGACGACTCTCCCTTATTTCTAGGTCAGGATCAGAAATTTTATATTTGGGTGCAACCACCCTTCTCGACAACAATAACAAAGAGCTGCACTCTCCCCCGTTCCTCTTTCATTCAATCCTCGCTTCCTCTTGATGCACGTTTGATGAAACCGAAAACACTTAGCTAAAGTTGAATAATTCAATTTTTCGATATGAAGTAATATTATCATTATTATTAAGAAATAACGGTTAATAGAACTGTCAATATTATCATAAAATCATCGATTTTAAAGCACCGAAACTTTCCATGGAAACTATTAGTTAGTCATGTAACTGTTTTGACGTATTTCATCGTTCACATTTGGATCGTGTCAGGACTTGTTACTCGACCATATTGAAATTTAACATTTATCAAAAATTGATTCGATATTGTAAACGAAATGTTTTATGTTCTCTTTTTGTCGTAAAGAAAATTTTAAATATTTTGGGATTTTCGTTTACGAAACACGGGCTACCATAAAAAGGTGTTTTATTGCTGTGAAACGTGCTCAAAAGGGGAAAAATACAGTTTCTTCCCAAGAAAATTTACACCTCTTTATGACGACTAATAGGCGTAAAACCCTCAGGTTTCGTACCTAATTTGCAAATTGCAAGTGTGACTTTTACATTTCCCAGTAAAAATAACGGTTTTGGAAGTTTTCCTCTTCATGAATAAACTATAATTTCATGTATCAACTGATTTAAGCATACATTTTGTGATTTTAATAAATTGATATCAAAATAATATTAATCATTTCAATTATTTTAAATTTTCTTTTTTTTAATTTATTTTTTTCTGTAAATGTTTTTACACGAAATTTCAATTATTAAAGTTTAAGTAAATAAATGACATGTAATAGTAATAATTAATATAATTTTTAATTAATTAATATTAATTCAACTACAATTTAATATCAAAATTATAATATTGGATATTTTTAAAATGATTTTATGAATAATAATAATATAATTTTGTAATTTTCTGCATTTAATTTTCGATCGATGCATGCTGTGATTCAAAAAGTAAACAAACGCACGTATCGTGTCGACCGTGGAAATAAACAGATAAACAAAGTTGCTAAGGTGATTTTACTTGTTTACAAAACAAATGCACAGTCGATGTGATAAGACGATCGTCTTCCGTTTCGAATTCAAGTTTAAGAGCACGAACTTATGAGTAAACAAACAAAAATTAAAAAGAAAACCGAACAAATTCCAATTGAATACATAACGACTTTACCTCAAGTGTCTTTCACCTTTCCTTAATTAATCAAAGAGATCCAGGTTGGCTCATGTCTCGCATATGCAAATAGCCTCTGTTTGTTTTCGTTCGTTTCTTCTCTCCTTCTTCAGGAGATTCACACACGAAATTAAATTCAAAACATTTCACATGCACCAAACGATGAAAATGATATACTTGTTGTTATGTTTTCCGTTGCGTAAATTTAAAATGTTATCACTGAACTAAATCCCATTTACTGAAGAACTGTGCACGTCCGGTGTTTATTTTTTTTTTGTTTTGTTTCGCTTTTCCGTTTGTTTGTAATTTAACTATGGAGCCTTGCGGTACTGATGGACGTGCGGGGAATGCTTCGCAGCTGCGACGGTGAAGAGGAACTCGCGACCGGACGCAACAAACACGGACCATCAACTGTTGCTTTTCTTGAGCGATGCGTGCGGACGTCGCCAGAGGCGCTTTCTTCATTCAAAACAATTCTCGCGCCATCTACATTATCGACTTCCCACTGTACACAATTTCAAAAACAAACAAAAATACAACCTATTTTCGGGTATTCCAAAGAAAGCCAACTGTTTTCTAATTGCGACAATAACCGATCATTAAATTACTTTGTTTGAATGTTTTTCCAAAAAAGAAACAAGTATATTATTGCTTATCTTTTGCTTAAATCATCTAATTATCTTTTAAAACATTAAAAATCACTAAAAAATAAATTAGTGTTTATTTGTAAAAAAAAAATAATTAGCTATAAAAGAAAATAAATAAATGAACATTAACTAATATTACCGATATTTTACGAAACTTGTCAATAATCATTTAAATGTAAAAAATTGACAACAATTTTGTCAAATAAATGTCAAATTATAAAGATATTGACCTAATTTTGCTAAATAAATACTTATAAAACAATATAATAAACGATATTTTATAACTTGTTCATTATGTAATGGCTCAAAGAGCTTAAGCTCGCAAAAAGCCACAAAAAAAAAACAACGATACTAACTTAAAACGAATAAAAGAAATTTTAAAACGAAAAAACTTGTTCATTTATGGTAGATTGGATCAGTGATTTAAATACTTCGTATAAGATTTAGTTAATCTCTATTCAACATATAATTATTGTTTTCTGATGAAAGGAAAAGTATTACGATTTTTCAGTGATTAATTACAGTGCAGTTTACTTAATTATAGTCAATATTTTTTATAATATATTGATGTAATGGTGATATTTAAAATCTTATGTTGGCTACTTGTCTATGTTAAGTTTAAAGTAAATATTCATTTATTCTCGTTGCTAATTTGCGTCTTTGGGTTCAATTGATTGTATTAATATTTATTTAATTTCATTTTAATTGATTTGCAATGGAATTATGGATTTTTATTGGTATTTTTGGATTGATTTCGTTGAATAATTGATCATGTTTCTTAGGGAAATGTGGCAACGTCGTCGATCGGTTCGGCCATCTTGCTGTTGGCAGCCATCAGATGTCAAGTTGCTTAGATAGAAAGTGATAGAGAGTTTACGTGCTTCGAGGAGATCACGTAAATCCTGTAAACAAAACTATAGGATTAGTGCGAAATCCAATTCGAAGATGATGGACAGAAATGCACCACCGGAAGCCAATCAGGATGTTGCAGTGCAAGTACGTATGCAACAAATAGGATAAAAACTAATCGCAGCTCCGGAATCGGTCATGTTTGTTTGTGTTTTCTATGTAGCAGACGGATGGGAATGGGGTCATAATTATCGGGGCACAACCCATGACCCATATGGGGTACTGCGTGAGCGACAGCACCGATGACATCCCCCCGCCGAAGGTCGACTTCTCAGCGCCACCCCCATACGAGGTGGCCACCAAGTTGCCAACCTATGAGGAGGTCCAAAGGGAGAAGACAAGGGAGAACAATGTGGCCATAACAATGACTGCAGTAAATAAGGGTATACCCAAACACAATATCCCAGATGATGCAGCTGAACCATTCTTGCAGGTGACAGACTACAGGCAGCCCACCCAGAGGATCCTGGCCATCGACGCTGATGGGAATGATGACATTGACACTAGTCTGCTTGGAACGGATTTTATGTTTTACACCGCCTTTTTCGGTAAACCACTGAAGAATATACGACGATCAATTTATTCGTTAACGCTTCCATATTTCCAGTTGCTTTCATATTTAACTGGGTCGGATTTCTGCTTTTAATGTGCTTCTGCCACACGATCGCCTCCAGGTACGGAGCGCTCTCCGGTTTCGGCTTATCCCTGGCCAAGTGGACGCTCATCGTCAAGCACTCGACGGACCTCGCCTCGCGCGACAACAATTGGTTGTGGTGGCTAATCATGGCCTTCGGTAATAACTGAATAAATCCGAAAAAATCTCACGTAATACTAAAAAAAATCGCTTCAGGTCTCATCATCTGCATCCGCGCATTCTTGCAATACCTCAGCATCAAGAGAGGCTGGAGGATGCTCACGGCCAGCCACCAGGAGCGACTGTTATTCTTTTACTAATCCGATCCAGACACCTGAGAGAGAGAAAAAAAACAAGTTTGTATAACACGGACACACGACACACCTTACGTGTACATTTTAACCCACATTAATTTTTAAAGCATCTAAATTACTTGTAAGGGAAATTCCGCGAGAATCTTATTATTTCGTTCAATGTATATGAGTATATCTGTGATTATTTTGCTTTAAATATCAGTCGGAACAAGTAAAAAAAAAAATAACGTAAACACAGAAAAGATAAAATTAACAAAAAAAAAGTATAGAAGAAGACAGTAACAACATTCCCCGGTAAACACGTTTCGTTGATTCTAATATTCATGTGAAGATAGTTTTAGTAAGGGGATAGACACCAATCGTTTCGATCATATTGAAATCCAACTCCAGTCAAAAAGCAGACATTTGAGAAATCGCAGCGCGTTTTGCGTTCGAGACAATCGCAAATACAATAATTTAAAAATCAAAACACATTTTTTTAAAGTATTGGTTGAAATTCAAGAGAAATAAGAATCAAAAAAGGATTGTATTTTAAAACAGATCGCTTTAAAATCTACGAAGATGCCTTAAAATGTAAACTTGACTTAGAACATCAGAGTGATAGTGAGATTTGTGATATTTAGTGGGAGGATTATTAAAAGTGACACCATGCCTTTTGACTTGGGTTGTTTTCACTTTTTCAAAAAAATGAGAAACAAAACGTTTGAGGCTTTTAATGTTAATGAAGTGGGCGGGAGAAGTGAAAATCGTTGAGCGCTTTTCAACATTCAAATCGATTTATTTTTTTAACGATCCCAACAAAGTTGATGCACTAATTAAATCTCGAATAGTTCAATGAAAATAATAATAATTAAATAAACATCAAGTGCACAGCAGTCCTACTAATTTTACCTTATCCGTACTTATAACTCTTTTTTTTTTTTAAACGACATTTAATTGTACATATATGTAATTATATGTTTGTCAAAACATTGCATTTATATTGAAGACTAGAGAATTTCAAGTGTTGTGCTCATTTTTTTTTTAATCTAGTCTACTGGTTTTGTTTCAATATTTTTTTTTATTATTCCAGAGTTTTCAGAACAAGACCTGTATTATTATTTTCTTTTTTTTTTTTTAATTTTAGGTAATATATTTAAGGGAGTTTGAGAAA